TATTCCTCTGCCTTTTTTCCTGTGCTCTGTCCGGCTTCCCACCCCTCTCGCATCACATCCAGGAGGCTCCGGGGCCGATGCCCAAAGGTTAATTCGAAAGAGGAGTACCCCAGGGAAGCCTGGGGGGTGTCTCTTACCGTGAATAGAAGTGGGGGAATCATTACGTTCCACTTCCGCGGGTCCGCCTGAGCACACTTCCTCAACATCCCTTTTAAAGTGCCGTTAAAACGCTCCACTAGTCCGTTAGTCTGGGGGTGGTAAACTGCTGTCTTTAGATGGCAAATTTGGAGTACCCTGCACAGTGCCCCCAATACTGCCGACATAAAATTGGATCCCTGATCCATAACAATTTCCCGTGGGATCCCGAATTTGGACACCCATTGCATTAGCTCCTCTGCAATTTTAGTGGCTGTAACTGCCCTCAGAGGAATGGCGTCGGGGAATCGGGTGGCATAGTCTATTAATACCAATATGAACTGGTGCGCCGCCACGGCTAATGGAAGGGGGCCCACTATGTCCAGAGCTATCCTAGAAAATGGTTCCCGCATTATGGGCATTGGATGCAGGGGCACCCTGGGAGGCTTGCGGGTGCTCACCTTCTGGCAGGCCTCACAGGTGCGACAGTACTTGTCCACATACTCGTATAAGTGGGGCCAGAAGCACCATCGAGTCAGCCTGGCCTCCGTTTTGTTTTTGCCCAAATGCCCTCCTAGGGGATTCGTATGGGCCAGCCATAGCAGCTGTTTGCGGTAGGCTTGGGGAATGATCAGTTGGGTCACTTCCTCCCTCTCGGCCTTACCCCGCCTTATTCTATAGAGTAATCTGTTTCGCAGCTCTATGTGGGTGGGCATCCCTGCATGTCCGGGGGGTCTTACCTGGGCAGTGTCATCTGGTCCTTCTATCTCCCAAAATTGTCGCAGCTCTGGATCTGCTTCTTGGGTGGCACGGAACGGCCCCACCTGCGCCAGGTCATCTACCGCCAGGTCCCCCTGTTCTCCATCTTCCGTTCCCACCAGCCCGGCTCTCACCTTCCCATTGCCTTGACGCCCTGGCAAAAGCTCAAATATCTCCGGCCAGTCTCTCCCCAGTATCATTGGGTATAACAGGTCCTCTTTCAGTCCCACTGGCAGGCTCCTTCGGATCCCCTGCACCTGTACTGCCAACCAGCGTCGCTCCATAAGACTCTTCTGCTTGTGCAGGCACACCATGCTCACCCCAGAGCATCGGGGTGCCCGTTCCCACTGGACCAATGAAGGTCGCACCAGAGATTGCGCACAGCCTGTATCCACCACCGCCTGGATGGGACTTCCCTCAACCCAGGCCAGGACTTTGGGTAGTGGACGAATGCGGCCCGCACTCTGACTGCCAACCCCACAGTCCATTGACTCAATTTCCGGTGGGGCGCCAAGCCCTGGTCGCCCGTCCCTCTGGCCCGGTTCCATGGCCAACCCTGATTGGACGCCTTGAGTGCAGTTCCTAGCTATGTGGCCCTTCAGTCCGCACGTGAAACACCTCAGGTTAGGTAGATTCCCCTTCCGGCCTCCTTTGGGTTCCGTGCTCCACCTTGCCAGGGCCTCTACCCCTTTTGCATTCCGACTGCATTGCTGGTCTCCCTGGGCCATCTCAAATTGCTCTGCCAGCTGCAGGGCCTCCCGGGACGTTGCAGGGCAATGGCACTTTACCCATTGCTGAGTGTCTTCTTCTAAATCATTGATAAATTGTTCTAAGAGGATTTGATCAAACATCTGCTCCTTAGATGAGGACTCCAGCCTGAGCCATTTACTCAAGAAGTCCACCAGGCATTGCCACAGCCCCCGCGGGGCCTTCATTTCGCCTGTCTTCCGCTCCCTAAAGGCCTGGTGATGTTTTTCCGGAGTAATCTCCAGCCGCTGCAGGATTTCCCCTTTCACCTTGTCATAGTCTAAGGTGTCCCCTCTGGATATCTCTCTATAAGCCGCCTGGGCTTGCCCAATCGGCAGCGTACCCAGCTGGCCCGCCCATTTGGCCTTTTCTACCCCGGCCGCTAAGGCCGCCCATTCAAATACCTCCAAGAACGCTTCAGGGTCATCCTCTTGTGTCATCTTCGGCATCCGGCATTCCCCCAGGCCCTTTTGCACCCACATCTGCTGATGTAAAAAATGCTCTTGCAGTGAGGTTTGCTGCATGCTCTGTTGCTGCTGCTGCTGCAGCACCTGGACTAACAGGTTCATTACCTGCTGGAAAGGCTCGGTCCTGGTTAAACTTGCCTGGTGCTCCATTGTCGTTGGCCACTGGCGTCAGGGAGACCGCTGCTGAGTTTCCCGGCCAATGCACCAGTTGTGAAAAGTGGACCCTTCGTCCTTCGGGTTGGTCTGGTCCGTAAAGTTCCCCCCAGCTAGACCAAGTGCTCACTTCCTGGGCTACACCCACCAAATTCACCTGCCACGTCTTTGAAGATGCTCTGGTTCAGTTTTACCGTCTGGCGTGTGCATGTCCAAAAGTGGCACCTTGTGTCTGCCGGGCCTGGGGATGCAGAGGGCTCCTCCACCCCTACACCCTCGCCCTTGCCTCCGGTTTCAGGGTCCCCACTGGTCCCTAATTGTCCTCAGTTTGATACCCCTTCCCCAAGGGGTTCACACTCACACAATTGTCCGTGAGGGAATGAGCCGACCTTACTCCTGCCGGGAGTGTCGGCCGCTGGGTCCCGCCGGCCCTGGTCTAATGCACAGTTCCCCTCCCTCCCTCTGGGGGGGAATCCTCACCCATGTGGGGTTTCTTCTGCTCTCTGGCCGGAGAAGCCGATCCCTCCTCATGCCAGCCGGGCTGCCCCCAGTCCTTCCTCTGGCTCCTGAGGGCTTCTCTCGGGCTGGGTCCACTGGTGCCAGATGCTCCGGCCTAGTCCGCTCTGTTCCTCTGTGCTCAGAGGTCCTGCTCTTCCACCCCGTCCCCTACCGGGGTCTTACCCGCACCCCAGAACGTGCGGGTTCGGTGTTGGGCAGCTCGCCTCCGCCTTCCTCCATTCTCGCTGGTGTCCGCCGGCTGTTCGGGCACTTCCAGTTCCACCACCGCTGGTGTGGTTCTGTGGGCCACCAGCCCTTTTAACTCGGCCTCTCTCCTAACCCACCTGCAACAGGTTAGTGATTGCCCCATCTCTCGGGGCAGGGGCGGGTCCGGTGCGGCGGACGTCCTGCTGCGACTCTCCCCGGGGTCTCCAGGTTCCTTTGCTCCCACACAGTCACACAGCAGCAGCTCCACATCCTCCGCAAGATAGGCAGCCAGCAAGGTGTGAGCACTACCTGCCTGATGCTGGGGTCTGGTGGTTCTGGATCCCATCATGGAAGCCATGCCCTTGGCTCATATTGGCAGCGCCTGTGGTGGAGGACAATACTGGTTCATGGATAGCTTGCTATCATGAGACAGTGGATCCCCCTGTTTCACGTCCCCCCACCTCCACCATTCTGCCTCCCTGACTTTCTTTACCAGTGCCTCTGTGCACTGATTCAGCATTTGGCTGCATATGGTGTCCTTCACCCTTGGGTCACACATAGTGGCCAGCACATGGACTATACTGGACCACAAGGGATCAAGCCATTTCCTGATGCCTTCCTTCAGCTGCCTCACCAGTGCCTGCACATCTGGTGACAGTGGCCTGCCCCACCCTGGAATATTGTTCCCCTGGAAGCTCTCCATTTGGCTTTGAAGTTGCCTTACTATGGGGATCACCTGGCTAAGGAGGGCATCAGCAGCAAGGAGGCTCTCGGTGGCCTTGAGGAAGGGCTTGAGGACCACCAGGATCTGGGAGATGGTATCCCACTCAGCTCTCTTCAGGGGGCCATTGATCCCGATCTCCCTGAGGAAGGCCAGCTCATGGCCATCTGTTGCTCCAGTCTGTTGAGCATCAGGTATGTGGTATTCCACTGAGTTGCTACATCCTGCATGATTTTGTGCTGTGGGATGTACAGTGATTTTTGTTTATCCCGCAGCATCTCGCCCCACTTGATGCTGTGGTGGAAGTAGATTGCCACCTTCCTGCATTTTGAAATTACCTTGCTGGTAGTGGCAGCACCATCACCAGCAGCCCTGTCCCCCTCCAAGGTATCCCTAACAACAAAGTGCAGCTTGTGTCACACAGTGGATGCCAACAAACTTGGCATCATGGACTGCCTTGACCATATTGGCCCCATTATCGGTGACCATGAACCCACAGTTGAGCTCACCATGCCCAGTGAGTCACCCCTGCACCAAGTGGTTCATGGCCCCCATGATCTCTGTTGCTGTGTGAGACTCATCCATCACCTTTGCTTGAAGGAGAGCCCAGTGATGGCCTGACTGGTCACACCAGTGTCCTGTGAGGGAGAGTTAGGCATGATCTCCACCCCAGCTGCTCCAGATGTCTGAGGTGAAGTGCAAGGCCACCTGCAGACCTGCCTTGCACAGCTCCTGCCTCAAGTACTCTGTGCATGCCTCATACAGGGATGGCACCACCATCCTACTGAAGGTGGTGCGTGAAGGCATTTGGTCTGATGGAACCATGAGTGCCTACTCAGAAATGTAGGTGTGGTGCAGTCAACAAACTTATGAAAGTGATAGAAATGTCTCTCTTTCTGTAGGTAAATTCTGAAAGTTGGCATAGGTGTGGTGCAGTCAAGAAATTTATGAAAGTGATAGAAATATATCTGTCTCTATATAAATTCAGAAATCTAGGCGTAGGTTTGGTGCAGTCAAGAAATTTATGAAAGCGATAGAACTATATCTGTCTCCATATATAAACTCAAAAATTTAGGTGTGGTGCAGTCAAGAAATTTATGAAAGTGATAGAAATATATCTGTTTCTGAATATAAATTTAGAAATCTAGGCGTAGGTGTGGTGCAGTCAAGAAATTTATGGAAGCGATGGATATATATCTGTCTCTATATAAATTCAGAAATCTAGGCATAAGTGTGGTGCAGTCAAGAAATTTATGACAGCGACAGAAATATATCTGTGTCTGTATATCAATTCAGAAATCTAGGCATAGGTGTGGTGCAGTCAAGATGTTTATGAAAGCAATGGAAATATATCTGTCTCCATATATAAACTCAAAAATGTAGGTGTGGTGCAATCAAGACATTTATGAAAGCAATGGAAATAGATCTGTCTCTGTATGTAAATTCAGAAATCTAGGTGTAGGTGTGGTGCAGTCAAGAAATTTATGAAAGCGGTACAAATATATGTGTTGCTGTATAAATTCAGAAATCTAGGTGTATGTGTGGTGCAGTCAAAACATTTATGAAATCAATGGAAATATATCTGTCTCTGTATAAAAAAATCCGAAATCTTGCCATAGGTGTGGTACAGCCAAGAAATTTATGGAAGCGATGGAAATATAGCTGTCTCTGTATATCAATTCAGAAATCTAGGTGTTGGTTTGGTGCGGTCAAGAAATTGATGAAAGCAACAGAAATATATCTGTCTCTGTATATAAATTCAGAAATCTAGGCATACGTGTGGTGCAATCAAGACATTTATGAAAGCAATGGAAATAGATCTGCCTTTGTACATAAATTCAGAAATCTAGGCATACGTGTGGTGCAATCAAGACATTTATGAAAGCAATGGAAATAGATCTGCCTTTGTACATAAATTCAGAAATCTAGTTGTACGTGTGGTGCAGTCAAGAAATTTATGAAAGCGATAGAAAGACATCTGTCTCTGCATGTAAATTCAATAGCATAGGTTTGGTGCAAAGAATGAACATATAAAAACAAATATATATATATTAAATTCCTATATAAATTACATTCTATAGTAATCCTATTCAATGTAAGTATAAAATTCAAAAGAATAATTCAATAAATGTAGTAATAAAATAAAAGCACCTACCAGAAAAAGGTATTCTGAAATCTCCTTTGTTAGGGTAGCAAATGGGGAATCCTTTAGAAAATCAGTGCCCCAGTGGCCTCAGGGGCACATGGCAGGGCTACAGGGACTCAGGAATAACTTTAGTGCTAAGTCCAGAGACTTGGGACTAACTTTAGTCCCAGGTCCCTGCTCATGTAGATACGTGCCAAAAATCACTTACTGTGCATTAAGTTAATGCGCATGAAATTTAGTCGCACTTAAATGCTCACTTAAATGCCCAGTAAGGAATATTGAAAAGAATGTTGGAGTGATGATGCAGCCTTGCTTAACTCCAGTCTTAAGCCCAAAGGAATCTGTGATAGATCTGTTACTGTGACCCACTGCTCACATACTGTTGTGGAGCAGGTGAAAAATGGTGATGAATTTCTGTGGCTATGTACCTCAGAAAGATCCTCCATAGAGCTTCTTGGTTGACAATGTTGAAGGCTTCTGTATGGTCAAAGAAGGTTGTATAGCTTTATGTTGTTTCTGGCATTTTTCCTGCAGCTAATGAGATGTGAAGATTATGTCAGTTGTGTCTGTTGATGCCCTGTACCTGCACTAAGATTCTGGAAGGAACACTTCAGCAGTTGGGAGGAGACGTTTCAATGGGGTTTGAAGAACAGGAGTTTGGGGCATCACTTGTTTGAAAGGGGCAAACTGTAGCTTTTGCACTGAGATTAGTTATCACCAACAGGATAAATATGCATCCATACTGAAAAAGAATATCTCTCAATTATGTTTATGTTGGAAAAAATCAGCCAGCATGTGCAAGGATGAGTAACCATTCATAGAAAAAGGACATAAACTACTACAAACTGTTTTTAAAAGGAATGGCTAATGGCAACAAAATGTCTTTAGTGAAGGCTGCTGAAACTGCAATGGTGTAGCTTTGGATGTACCCTACATGAATGGAGCTGAGATGCACAAAGCTGATTTATCTAGAGTCTTAGCATAAAAATATGGTCCCTGCACAAGGAGAGGAGATCCTATACCTTGCAGAAATATGGAAATTGCTGAAAGACATGGAAAGCATGAACCAAGCTAGGTATGCATCAATTTCATGGGATGAGCTGAAAATCATTTGCAATCAGAGTATACAAGTCAAGATTTACAAGTGTTCACATCCATCTTTCTTCTAGAATAGCCAGAAATTGAGGAAGAAACCCCACCTTCCTCTCAAGAGTACTAAATCTGTCAAAACAAACTGAACACACAATATAACATTGTATATAAGGCAACAGAATTAGAATACCTATGTTACTGGAAAAAAGAAACTCTCTGGAATATAGTAGAGCCATTTTGGTATAAAAACCATATCCAGAAAGCCAGAGATGCCAGTTGTAATCAGTTGTGTAAAGGGGGAATCAGACTATGGACAAAAAAGAGGTAATAAGAACACTTTTTATTCCCAAAAGAAACAGAAGCAAAGTAAGAATAAATCCTTTTGATGCAAAATATACACATAACCTCATTATTGTAGACTATTATTCAAAATTCTGGGAACTAAACCACCTGTCAGGCATTCCCGTAGTGACCATCCAAGACAAAGCAATGGAACTTTTCAGCAGGCACAGTATCCCAAATTTTCAGGCACTGGACCTCAGTTAATTTGCAGAGACTTTGTGCAGTTTACCTGAAAACAGGAATTCAGCCACATCACATCATGCTATACCACAATTGGTCAAATGGCAAACCTGCACTGGCAGCTAAAATTGCTAAAATTCAATTAATGAAAGCTGCCAAAACAAAAGAAAATATATAGTACATTGTTCTTGAAGAGAAAAGCACACATATAATGGGCAACAGTTTGGTCAAGATGCATGTGTACCTTGGAGCTGACACAATTTAATACAAAAGCATTAGTACAACATTACTACAATAGGGTGTGCCAACACAAGACACATTAATCTGCATTAGCTTAATTTAATGAGCATTACGGGAGTGAAATTAGGTTAATCACACCTAAATTTGATACCTGCAAATGGATTAACATACGAGATTGTGGAGGCACCAGTCACCCATGACTTCAGTCTAACTTTAGTGCCAGGTCTGCCCAGCCTAGGTGATAGTAATCATCACCTACTGGAATTCACTATCCAGCACAGGGTGGCAAAGGCTTGCAGCAAGGCAGCAGCCCTGGACTTCAGGAGGGTGGATTTCAATGAGGTAAGGAGTCTAGTTGGGGAGGCACTGAGATCCTGGAGCAGAGGGGAGTTGGGAGTCCAGGAAGAATGGTCATTCCTTAAGGAAACGATCCTCCAAGCCCAAAGGGTGACAATCCCAATGTGGATCAATGGGGGCAAGAGTGATCAAAAGCCCCCATGGCTCACCAAAAGCATCCAGGAACATCTCAAAGCTAAAAAGGAGGTGTACACCCAATGAAAGGGAGGGGCCATCACCAAGGAGGATTATACCTCCATTGCTTGAGATTATAGGAGGGCTGTTAGGAAGGCTAAGGTAGAGACGGACCTGGGACTAGTGACCCAGATCAGAGATAACAAGAAGTCCTTTTTTAAATACATAGGGGGTAAAAAGAAGGTACCAGGTAACATGGGGCCTCTGCAGTACAAGCATGAAAATCTGGTGGTTGCACCAGATAGCAAAGCTAACCTCTTTAACAATTTCTTTGCTTCCATTTTTCTGAGCAGGGACCAGGTCATCCCCCCTCACTGGGATCCCCGATAGACCCAGGGGAGGTGCAGCCAGGCCCAGGGTCAGTGAGGACCTAGTCAGGAAATTTCTGGTGGGACTAAATGTATTCAGATCAGCAGGCCCTGATGATCTCCACCCCAGAGTGCTAAGGGGATTAGCAGAGGTCATTGCGGGACCTCTGGCACACTTTTACAAGCACTCGTGGTGCTCTGACAAGGTGCCAGAGGACTGGAAAAGTGCCAATGTGGTCCCCAGTCTCAAAAAAGGGAGGAAGGAGGACCCAGGAAACTATAGGCCCATTAGTCTTACCTCAGTCCTGGGGAAGGTCTTTGAGAAAATTATCCAGGAGCACATCTGCAAGGGACCATCAGGGGAGATTATGTTTAGGGGCAACCAACATGGGTTCATTAGAGTCAGGTGCTGTCAGACCAACCTGCTGGCCTTTTACGACCAGGTCACAAAACTCTTGGATGCAGGTGTCGCAGTGGACATAGTCTCTGTGGACTTCAGGAAGGCCTTCAACATGGTCTCTCACCCCATTCTCATTAAAAAATTAGGCAACTGTGGTGTTGATGCCAGTACAGTCAGATGGGTCTCAAATTGGCTGGAGGGCTGCACCCAGAGAGGGGTGGTGGACAGGTCATTTTTGACCTGGAGGGATGTGGGCAGTTGGGTTCCCCAGGGCTTGGTCCTCGGGCCTGCACTGTTTAACATCATCAGTGACATAGACAAGGGGGTGAAAAGCATCTTGTTCAAATTTGCGGATAACACTAAGATGTGGGGAAAAGTTGGCATACTAGAGGAGACGGACAGGCTGCAACTAGATCTGGACAGGTTACAGAGGTGGGCGGATGAGAACAGGATGGGTTTCAATATGGACAAGTGCAAGGTATTGCACCTGGGGAGGAAGAACCAGCAGCATACCTACAGGCTGGGGAACTCCCTTCTCATCAGCACAGAGGCGGAAAAGGATCTTGGAGTCATTATTGACTGCCAGATGAACATGGGCTGCCAATGTGAGGATGCAGTCAGGAAGCCTAACCGTACCTCACGAGCAGGTCCAAGGAGGTGATCCTCCCCCTTTGCGACACTGGTCAGGCTGCAGTTGGAGTACTGTGTACAGTTCTGGGCACCGCACTTCAGGAGGGATGTGGCCAGCATCAAGAGGGTCCAGAGGAGGGCCACTTGCATGATCAGGGGGCAGCAAGGCAGACCCTATAAGGGAAGGCTATGGAACCTGAACCTGTTCAGCTTCCACAAGAGAAGGCTGAGAGGGGATCTGGTGGCCATCTATAAATTGGCCAAGGGGGACCAGCAGGCTATGGGAGAGTCTCTGTTCCCCCAAGCACTACCGGGAGTAACAAGGAATAACGGCCATAAGTTGACTGTGAGTAGATTTAGGCTAGATATCAGGAAGCACTACTTCACAGTCAGGGCAGTTAGGATCTGGAACCAACTTCCAACAGAAGTGGTGCTCGCTCCTACCCTGGGGGTCTTCAAAAGGAGGCTAGATAATCACCTAGCTGGGGTCTTTTGACCCCAGCATTCTTTCCTGTCTATGGCAGGGGGTCGGACTTGATCTGCTCAGGTCCCTTCCGACCCTACAAACTATGAAGCTATGAAACTGGGGGAACATGGCTGGGCTTCAGGGACTTGGCACTAACTTTAGTGCCAAGTTCCTGCATATGTAGACCTCCCTGTGTGCTATGGCAGGGGGAATTCAGGAGACCAGGGGAAGCACACGTAGGCCAGGCGGAAAAGGGGGTCAGGGGCTGGGACCATGGCAGGGGCTGGGCCAGTGGTGGGAAGGGCCCTCCCTCCAGTGCAGGCAGGGTCCTCCCCCCAGGGTGGGGCTTAAAAAGTGGGTGTGGCAGGCATGCCTGGTGGCCTGAGTCAGACTCCACTGACTGTGAGGATGTGCAGCTCCCGGCGGTGTCCTGGGGTGCAGTGGCACTGTGTTCAGCTGCCTGGACAGGGGTCCCCTCTGATGAGAAGCTGGAGCTGCTGGTAGTCAGTGGTGCCATGGCCAGCTTGGCCTCATGGATAGGGCTGAGCATGTGGGACTGGTGGGGCAGGCACTGACCTGGGCTCCAAAAGCTGCTGGAGGAGGCCAGGGGTAGGGAGCTCAGCAGGATGGGCTCCCAGTGAGCTGAGGGGACCTTCCCCAGTGAGGCATCACCACAGATGCCAGGCCGCAGCAGAAGCTTGGGCAGGCTGCCCATGCTGGAGTAGATAGCATGGCTCAGGGTAGAGCCCTGGGATATGAGGATGTTGTCCAGTTGTCACATACAGGACAGCAGTCAGCAGTCATGGCTGGTGACAGTAACTCATTGTGCTTGCAAAGCCTTGACCTTTATGCAGCACTGGTGTGCCAACCAGTTGTGCCTGTTCTCTCATATTCAGCCTGACAGGCTGTCATAGATGTACGTGTTGGAGTGCCCACTCCACACAAACTGGGTGAGGAGTTCAGGCTTGTCCCACCGTGCAATGAGGTCACAGTCTCCTCCTAGGACCAGAAGGTGGTGTGTGGCTTTGGGGAAGACATCAGCACGGCTCCTTTGATGGATCACTGGGGCTCTGCATGGCAGGCCTAGTGCTGGCAGGCCTGGGCAGGTGCTTAGAGCACTCAGTGCAGGGGCATGGCATGAGACAGGCAGGTGCAAGGGTGTCCTGGGCATCAGTGATGGGGTCTGGGTGGCTGCTGTGGCTGTCCTGGGGCCAGCTGGAGTGGGACCCAGTGGTCAGAGGCTGGCTATAGGTGGCCTTGGGTGCTTCCAGGCCTGGTGGATACCTGCAGCACCCAGTGCAGTGCAACGGTGCAGGTCTGGTAGCCACATGGCCCCACAGAGCCAAGGACAAGTGCTGGGGCCTGGGCAGGCTGCTGTGACTGACTTGGGGCCTCTGCTGTGTAATGCAGTGTCCTGCAGCTGGCTGCAGGTAGGGTTAAGTGAAGCTTTGTGTGCTGATTCTATTCGGAAGAGTTTCAGCCCAATTCGGTAGCCAAATCTTCAAATCCAAATGGAATTGGGAGACCAATAAAAAGGTTCAAATTGATTCAAAGCCCCCGAATCAATTCAGAAAAGATTCAGAGAAAGATTAGGAGATTCATTAGGACCTTGGCTCCGTGCCAGTAAGAAGGGGGCAGGGGGACACGCACCAGGCCCCATCCCCTGCCTGCTCTCCCAGTCCCATCAATGGCTGCTCCTGGCCCCAGTGGCCCGGCTCTTTAAAAAAAAAAGAGAAAAAAACAGAAAAGCCCCTCACCAGCTCCTGCCTGGCCTCAGTGTCCCAGTGCTTTAAAAAAAAAAGCCCCACACTCACTGACCCACTGCAGTGGCCATCGAGGCTTCTGAGGGCTCATGGCAGAGGCCCCCATGCAGCATGGGGCAGTGGGGGGGCATTAGGGATTGCTCCCTCACCTGGCAGGAGCTGGTGAGTGCGGGGCTTTTTTTTTTTAAAGCTCTGGGATGCTGGGGTCGGGTAGGGCAGCCATTGACAGGCCTGTGAGAGTGGATGGGGGATGAGGCCTATTTGATTAGTAGATTTGACTGATTTGACAGCAGCTGAATCTCTGAATCAGATTCGGCTAAATCGATTAGTTACAGTGATTCGACTCACTGTCCCCTGAATCAGCTGAATCCAAAGTGAATACTAGCTGCTTTGCACAGACCTACTGCAGATGGCCCAGGGCCTTGGGATCCCCACAGGCTTTTAAGTTCCTGGGTCTGGATCAGGCAAAGAGCCATCCCAGCTATGGAGCTCAAGAAGCTCCCAGTTCGGGGGCCCTGGGGCTAAGCTGCAGGTGGTACCCTTGTGTTGGGTCTGACCGGGAGCAAATTTGCTTTGGGTTAGCGTCTATACATGTGTTACTGTGCAGTAACTGACTGCAAGTAAATTTGTTACTTGTATTTACGTGTAGCAAATTTACTCATGATTAGAGCAAATTACTGTGCAGTAAGCATCTGCACAGGTAGACACAGACTCTTAGTCCTCAGTAAAGCACCTCGTGTAGATGCACCCAGGATAGGGTGTTTACAGTTGCGATGAGCACAGGTCTCATCCTACTCTTTGCAGAGGACAGGACAATACTTGAACTTAGAAATTAAGCACTTTAAATGGACCTCAGTAGGGAGCTTGAACTTCCTTGCCACCTTGGCTGTTACCCCAGATAATTATTTTTCTACAATATAATCTGTATATTAAAGGAGACCTACTTCCTGCCCCAACATGCTTCATCCTTGTACAATGATTTCCCTGTGGGTCTTTTCTCTCTGCTTGTGCTACCTAGCACCAAAGTTGACAGAAGTCTTCTTTATGGCTTATGTTTTTAGCTGCTTTTTTCTAGGTGGTATGATGATTTTATCATCATAATAGCTAGGCCTGCAGGATATTTGGTGGGATGTCAATAAAGCTTTGCACTAGGAAGTGGAGGTTGTTTGGTTACTGATTCAGGCCTTCTGTACTTACAGTGCAGTAATTCGACTCATTCACACATGGAAAGTGACAATGGGCTGCAAGATGATGAAACTGAATATTTGCTTGTGAAATTTTATAGAAAAAAATATTGAAAAAAGAACAGCTTTCATCTACCCCTATTTTTAAATCACATAAATGAAAAGCAACAGGAGACATTTCAGGGTCAGAGATATGCATAGTAAGTAACGGTGCAGCTGGGAACTGTAAAGTAAAGGAAAATGTATTTATTATTATTGTTGTTGTTATTTGTAAGTAAATTTGGGGTCCTAGTCATCAGATTAAACTGAATTTCATTGCATCTTTCCAGGTTGCAGATGGTTTTCACTCAAGCAACAGCCTTTTAAGAAGTCTGGGAAAATGTCTTACTTGATTGCTTGTTGAAAACATGCTAGTACAGAACTCTTGCCCAGTTCCCTTCTCTCTAAGCTTTGTAAATAAAAGTTTAGGTAAAAGCACTATTATTTCCAGTCCAAGATTCCGTTGTGTGAGAGACTGCCAAATCTTTCCCTATCAAGGAAGTTCTAGTAGCTATCAACTATCACATCTATGACAAGGGTCTCAAGTGATATATGGATGTATCCCTCTATTTATTTTTAATTTGCTCTTAAACACATTTTCTTTGGAGCAATGTGTCAACCAAAGAAGACAGGAAAGTGGGGTTTTTTTCTTTGAACCAGCAAACATTTTTAAAGGTGACGCTATGCTTCAGTGTTTTTTGGCACACAGAATCCATCTTAATGTGAAGTACATGACAAAAAGTGCCATGCTTTCTATAAAGATCTTAACTAGAATGACTGAACCCCAGTACCACATTGTAAATTAACCATTGTCCTTTGTCAGCATCAACTGTGCCCCATCACGTCAAATAACCACAGTTAGCATTCAGTGTATGAACATGGCTCCATTCATTCCATCCAGCAGTGAATAATTCATATATCAAGTTTTACCCTGGGCAAAATACACTGACATCAAGAGTCATTAAATTCTAGTCATTCATTGAACAAAATAGTTATTCATGGTCTCAATGTGAACCATTAAATCTTGCCAGTTAAATTTAAGAATGAATCAATTTAATTCATTTGACATCTTGTAAGCTCACAATAACTTTGTTGCAATCAGTTTTCTTTTTTTCCCAAACTATTTGTACCTGAAAAATGAAATTCTCTGCCAAGTTAATTTTATTCCGTTTATAATGGAAAACCTCAAAATAGAAGATAAATTGTAAATTATAATATAGTGTCCTAGGCTCCTGAAAGTTCCTTAAATTAAATGTAATTTCCTATTAAATGTTAAAGTAACTCTTAGCAGTATTATATATAACTAAGGGGTAATAACACTATGTAAATGCCCCAAATTCAATCCTAACATGCCGTGAGTCCAGTATATAATCTGTAGGTTAGTGGGTTCTCAAACTATTTTGCAAAGAGTACTTGGTAGTAAATGGGGAGTTGGGGAGTCACATGTTGTTGGCTTCCTCTTTTCCTCTCCTCCCACCAAATATGTCTGCAGGCCTCCATTTCCTCCTTGCAATTAGGAGCCTGGACGCCTTTCAAGATTTCTCAAAGCAGAGAGGACTATACTGCGTAGCAGCATCTGCTAGATTAGAAGCTACTTCTGCATGGGAAGAAGGAAGTTAACAACTAAGGTTAGGTTCTGTAGCACTTAAGCACTGCTGGAGCAGAAAGCAGGAGCTCCCTCCCACATATTTTTCAGGGGAGGGGGGAGTATCTAGGCAGAATATCCAGGTAAGGAGAGGGATAAAAGGGTAAGGTATCTGGTTGCATACATGTGAGATTTTCCCTGCCCCGCCCCTGCATGCAGCCGGCAGAGCTGAGGCGTGAGGGGTGTGGTGGTGGCTGCATGCAGAGCAGCAGCAGCGCAGAGAGGTGCGTGGCGTCAGCAGCTGCCACGTGAGCTTTCCCCCGCCCCTTCCCGTGTCTGGCCAGAAACTCTGGTTAATAGAGTATTTTGGTTGGTTAAGTACCGGATAACAGAGATTTTACTGTACAATGATGTATGTTTTAAATGCAAATATACCACAGCTTCTGAATCACCAACATGTAGGTTTGCCAACATGGCAAATACATGCCATTATACTCACACTTGTCTTTCAGTCCTATTTTATACTCACACTTGTCTTTCAGTCCTGCCCCTTGAAGCTGCACTCTGGATGAAGACGTTTGTAGGGCTAGGGACAGAAGTTGCACATAAATCAGTTTTGGATCATTTCAACCAGGTTAAACCTGTGACAGAACACAAGTTCAGTGTACATAAACCATTTTCAGAATAGCCAAAACTGGTTTAAGATAAGTCTGGCTGGATGTATTATCAGACAGAACTGATTTAGGTTAAACTGGTTAATAGAACTTCTGTGCCAGATCCCTTTCCAGTTCAAGTTAACTCACAGTCCGTTAACATTCCAGAATGCTCTGTAGCCCTGAGCTGTGCTTTCTACTCCAGCAGAGCAGGGATGGCCCCTCCCCCAGCTATCACAGAGTCAATGCACTAAAACCAGAATCTGTCAGCCCTTTGGGATGGAGGGGGCAAGGGAACAGACACCTAGATGCCCCTCACTCCCCATCTGTAGAGAAGAAGGGAAAGCAAAGCGCCAGCAGTGTGGCCTCCTCCCCCCCACCACCACAGCAGCCACAAGAGTGGGGCTGGCATCAGCTCAGCCCCACTCCATCCCCAGCCCCCCACCTTTGAGAGGAGGGTGGGGTAGAGGGGGCGTTCGAATTGCTCTTGCCTGGCATCAGACCTCTTAGCCAGGGTCTGCCTTGGCATGGGTGGGGAGAAGCTCCCACTGGGGGCTTTTCACTTCTACACAGCCCAACTTGCTGGCCTGGGATCAACTCAGCCCTGCCCTGACTCCAGCCCCACCTGTGAGAGGCAGGGGGCAGGGGAAAGAATGCACCAGCCTAGCTGGGTACTGGCTTTCCCAGCCAGGGTCTGCCCATTGTGGGAATAGGGTGAAGCTCACCAGGGGCTTTTCACTCCTCCACAGCTGGGCTCACCAGGCTGGCATGGGCTTAGCCCTGCCTCCTCCCCAGCTCCCACACCTGTGAGAGGTGAAGGGGCAGGGTGGGGAATGCACCAGCTCCCCCAGCAGGGGTATGCCTAGAACAGGGCATTGATGCCTCCATCAGGGGCTTTTTGGAACCCCACAGCCTGGTAAGTCATGTAGGGATCAGCTCTACCTCCTCCTGGAGAGAGGGTGGGGCTGAGCCAGTCCCAGTTTAGCTCACCAGGCTGTGGGTGAGTGAAAAGCCCCCAGTGGTGTCTTTCCCTCACATGGGGCAAACCTCAGCTGGGGCTGGCGTACCAGGTCAGGTGTGTGCGTTCCTCCCACCCCCTCTCAGAGGCATGGGGCTGAGCAGGGGGCAGAGCTGAGCCAATTGAAGCCCTACTAGCCAGTGAGGGGGCCAGGGCCAAGTGGTGTGTTCCCTCTCCCCATCCTCTTCTCAGAGGTGGGGGCTGAGACAGGGCCGGATTAACTCTTTAGTAGGTTCTAGGCAACCAAACTCATGGTTGCCTAGGACCTACTTAATACTGTATATTTTAGGGTTACCATATATCCGGGTTTTCCACTGTGCTGTGTCCGAACAGGTTTCTAAAATGAGAGCAAATGTCTGGGTTTTTTGCTCTTCCTCTGCTCTCTTAGGCTGGCTGCTTGGGGTTGGAAGGAGTGGGTAAGGTGATTGACTTTTGGGGTTCATGTGGTCCCTGCATGTGCCCCAGCAAGCCATGTAAAGAGGCAGTGTGTGTGTTTGTGTGAGTGTGTGTGTGTGTGTGTGAGAGCGGGTGCACGCACAACACAGGACCTGCTTGGGCAGCAGGGCTGGGGGGGCAGGGGTTTGAGGGTCG